GACGTCATATACTTTTTAATGGAAATAAATTGTGAAGTTAGAAGTATTATTTTTACTTGTCACACACGTACTGATGTGCAAAAAAGAGACAATTGGATTTATGATTTGACTGCCCCAGAGTCGGGTCAACCCGGTCCTAATGACATTCTTGTTCAGGAAAATGGAGATGGTAATATTGATGATGAGTTTAATTAGGTATAGCAAGATCTTGTTCTAAGTAGGGTAGGTTGCAGATGGTGGAAAATTCCGAGAGAGAGAGAGAGAGGGTGATGGGATGTTTGTCAACTTCAAAGTAATGATCCAATTTGTGTAGGTGGGGTTTGCATAGAATTTTCTTACTAGGTTGGGGTATCTTTTTTGGGTTTTTCAAAGACAAAAACTCTCAACTCTGCAAAGTTGAATGCCTCCATGAAGGAGAAATCCTTAAAGAGTTCTTCATCAAGAAAGTGCATGGTGAAGAGCTATCTATAAGAGTAGTAAAGGTTGGAGTTGATTTCCTGAGCTTGGGTTGAGAAGGTTTCAGAAAAGTGTGATGATGAAGGTTGGGAGGATCTATTTCTTTTTGGAGCCATTTGGGATGGGTGATAATGATTCAGAGAAACAAGAGTGTTTTATGCAAGTAGGTAATGAGAAATAAAGTTGTGAAGAAGAATGAAAACATACCTCTTTATATAACCTTCATTTAATTGATTAGGTTAATCATTTAGCAACAGTAATATTTGAGATTTTTGCATTACAAGTATTCGTTACTTTGTTCATTCCTTCAACTATCCGTTTGGGATTTGTTCAATGTTTGAAATTTTACCGTTTTAATTCTTTTATTCGATTGTGCTAATCAATTATTTTTGTTTTTTTCCTTTTTACTTTGGGCCTCTGGGGTTTTGTTTCTTTATAACACCTTCCAATTATGCTTTTGACACCTCTAAGCTTAAGACACTTAATCAAACTTATTTTATGGGTTAGAAGAGATTTAATAAATAAATCAATAGTATTTATTTTAAAATATAAGAAGAGTTAAGAAATAATTATTTTAATAGGTTAATCAAATTAACAAATTATTTTCAACCTTAAAATAATTTTACCTAGGTCAAGAGAAGAATTCTTGACGAAAGTTATCTTAAGAGAGGACACTTAAAAAGTGTTTCCTTCTCAACTCATCATTGGATGGAAGAGTTGGTAAGAAAACAGGAAAATAAGTCCATCATGGACTTATTTACTTTACTTTTCATCATAAATCACAAATTGAGAAATACTCAAATGATATTGCTTTGACCATAATTGTTGGCACGTGTCATCATTCTTTCTAAGGATCAAATACTTATCAAGTGTATACTCTTAGAGAATACTTCTTCTTTTTCATAGCTTCATCAAGTGATCTTTAAAGTTTTGAGCTGCACATCATTGTCTGCAAAACAAAAAGACATTAATATGATCTTTCGTTTTATCTCCTATATGCATTTGCTATCTTCTTTGATTAGAGGGTGATTCTTTATTTCTCCCCAAGGTTGTAAACTTCTTTTCTTTGATCAAATGACTGAAGAAATTCTTGATCATTTGTTATTCTTTGAATATGTGAGTTCTTTGATTGATGTTGGACATGGTATAATGATCTTGATTGCATCGGTTTTCATGAGCATGATTATTTTCTTCCTGAAAAAACTTATTGAGATTTGTATCTATAGGTTTAATATTTTGGAAAGGTTTTCCAATTCTCAACTCTTTAGATAAGCATTAGTAACAATAATCTGACAATTTTTAAGAAGAAAATTTTCTTTGCCTCATGTGTTAATATTCTTTGGTTAGATACTTGGAGGAACTCCATATATCTTTTTCCAAAGTATCCTACATTTCCTTGGCGGTAAAAACAACATAAGTTTATCTTTGGTTCAAGAGGTTTTTCCAATCCTTCATCATTTCATTGATAAGAAGGGCAAAACAAGCCATTGAATTTTTTTTTGAAAAATAAAGGTTTTCAAGAAAAACTTATAAAGAATAATTTTCAAAAAGGATGGTGGTGAGTTTTTGAAAAGATTCTTGTGTTGGAAGTCATCTTCCTCTTGAGACGATTAATCCTTTCAACAGAAGTTATGCTCTGATGCCACTTGTTGGACTTGAGACTTTACACACAAGAGGGGGGAGAATTGTGTGGTTTGAAAAATATGGTTTTGAAAACAATTTCGAAGATTAAAAATATATTTTGGAAAACATTTTCTAAAACCTATGATCTATCAAATTTTCACAAACTTTCTTATAACTTAGCAGCGGAAAAATAATTTGGAAATAAAATGCAGAAAGTAAAAATTTCAGGGATAAGAAGAACACCGTGATATATAGAGGTTCGTTCAAAACTAAAGGACCTACTCATCTCCCCAATAACTGGTCTTGAGAGTTTCCATTAAGTACTTGAGAGCTTTTAGTAGGTGATGCTCACGAACCCCCTTATACAAGGAAGTGTTGGTTGTCCTACAACCATGATAAATGTAAGACAGATATCTCAATGTTTGCATCTTCTCCATTGTTGATATCGAAGTGTCCAAGCTCCTCTCCCAACTATAGATCAAAGTACCATCACTTCTCTCTACTAAAAAAATATCAAAGCTCTATATGGTTTAATATGATAACCATTAACCTCTTGTGATTTTAACATGTTGATCAACTAACCTATGGTTTTATAACGGGCTAACCATGAACCTGTCTATAAGTTCATTAATATTGATGATCTTCAACCTTCAAAATAAAAAAGGCTTTGCAATAGCCTTAAGGGAATCTCATCAACATTAACATTCTTCAACCTCAAGAACATGGGACTTATCACTCAAATCCCCAACCAAAGCTTTTAACAGGTTTAGCTTCAAACCATATTATTTTTCCCTAAACATTGATGATGTTCATCAAGGTGAAATAATAACAACATTAAAGAACTTTATACATTTCTACCCAACTATAAATACATAAACCTCTCTTTATAAAAGAACTTTCCTCATAAAATCATTTGGCTCTAAGAACTAGTGAGAGAAAGTGACAAAGAAAAACTTAGAGAGTGAGAGAGAGAGCGTGTGTCAATATACATTTTGTCTTCAGGATGATTTGAACCAAGGAATGAGACCTCTATTTATAGTGTTCAAATCGTCTAAAAGAGGAAATAACATTAAATGATTTTTTACCATTACCAATTGATTGAACTAATCGATTAAGTCATTAAAACATAACGACTATAATTTCAAAAACAGGTGAGAATAGACATGTAATCATTGCTAATCATTTGGGTACATTCAAGTTTCCTTTCTTCTTAAGAACGCGCCAATCTAATTGATTGACACTTTATGCTCATCGATTAGATCCAGTTAAAAATTATTTTTCTGGCTCATTGAATGTACCCAACACTTTCTAGGAAATTTCTACATATTTCTATGACATTTTATTTTCCAAAACAATTTATTTTAAAAAACTTTTTATAAAGAGGTTTTAAGTGCGTGTGTATGTGTGTGTGTGTGTGTGTGCGCGCGCGCTTATAGCCACCAAATACTTCACAGGGGAAAGTATTCTTGCTTATATTGATTCACTCTATTAGGGTAACTTCCCTAAGCATGTGTATGATGTTTTCATTGTGTTTGACCATCTTCTCTGATATGTCTTTTGAAGCTCTATTAGTTTTCCTCTCATTGTTATTGATCTTTGTATATTTTCTTAAGTTCTTTGAGGCTTTTGATAAAGTCTATTTGTTTTCCTTTTTCCTAAACAACTATTGTTGATATATGAAGCTTTACCTAAGATCTTTGTCAATCCTTATCAAACTCCTGGCTTTGCATCTTTGACTTCTTTAAGTGCACAAGTTGTTTTTCTTTATATTTTCATCTTCACTATGTTGAATGTTGTTTTGACGATTCTTTACAGTTTGTCAAATTATTGCATCTCTATCATACTGAGTATCTATTATGTACTTTTATAGTTAAAGATTTGTTGTATCTATCGTGCTCTTGTTGTATCTATCATGCTGATCTATATGTTCAATTCTTTTATATTTGAGGCAAAACTATGTTGCATCTTCAATATGCTGAGTAAGCTTTATGATCTTTCTATAGTGGTCATCATCAAAACAAAACATGTTACTAGCAAAACAAGATTCCACAGTTTATTCTTAGGAAACAAACTCAATTTATGGTTTAGAAAAAACAAAAAAAATGTTATTTTATGTCCACTACTGTAGATGAATACATTGCTGCTGGAAGAAAATGTACTCAACTCTTGTGGATGAAGCAAATGTTGAAAGAGTCCAATGTCACTCAAGATGTCATGCCATTATACTGTGAAAACATGAGCACTATTAATATTTCCCATAATCTAGTTCAACATAGCCTTACTAAGTATATTGATATACACATCATTTTATTAGAGAACTTGTGGAAGATAATGTCATTACTTTGGATCTTGTGTCAACAGAAAAACAATTGGATATTGTCACTAAGGTCCTGGATGCAACACAATTTGAAAAACTAAGAAGTTCTTTAGGGCTATGTGAAATGGATGTTTTGTAGAAATCAATGCCGAGGTAGATGGAGAATAAATGGGCCAAAATATTGTCCTTTCAGTCGACTACTTCCAAGAAACATGGGAGGAATATTATATGGATCAATAGAAGTTCAAAACTGCTTCATATTCAAATTTTTGATTTAATGCTTACGTTATTGTTTCACGCTCCAAACTTATAAATAATCTTTCATCTTATCCAAACTCTAAACTTCTCTCTCTCCAAGTGTTCATCTTTAACCCAAATCTTTTGCAAAAATGGTAGGAATACATCAAGGTACCAACACCTCTAGCAAAGAAAAGAAGAGTGTAAAAATGAAAGGCGTTGTGAGAATGTTGATGGCATTCCATAGATAGGAGAAAATGAGCCATAAGGAAAAGGTTATGAAGAAATTAATGATGAAGAGGTTGTTTTTTATGCAAGTGAAGAGGAAGGAGAGAAACATGTCAAAGAGGATAAAGAAGATAAACAAATGGATGAACTAAAGGCAAGCAAAAAAGAACCGAGTCAAGATCTAAGACAAGAAGAATGTGACAATGTTGATATTATCAAGGAAGCTAATATTACTTTTGGAGATGTTACAACATATGTGAATGATAACATGGAGGATATGTTGGAGACAAGGGCTCAAATCCAAAATTATGTTGAGCAAGATATCTCAAAATCAACGAAAATCCTAAAGAAGTTGGAGTCTAGAATGATGTCATACAGGGGTGTTAATGACAAGATCATTGACTACATTGATGATGTAGTTCCTATTATTAATGATAATGAAACCACAACAAAATCTACAAAAACATCCAAGAAGAAGGCTGAGAAAAATAAAACTTCTTTGAACCTAAGAAGAATACTACCAAAAATTCTTCCACACCAAGTGAAAATAGAAAAACCTTTAAGAAGAAGGAGGGTAATCTAAAGAAAAAGAAGTCTCCATGTGAGAAAAGTGTTACTAAAAAGTCTTCTAGTAAGGAGAAGTTTGTGCTGAAGAGGAAGAATGTGAGTACAACTTCATCATTTGATATTTTGCATGATAATAAAACTGGGAATAATTAGCACTTCTGTACAGTGGACGGTATTTTTATCTCTTGTGGTACTCCTCTGCATTAGAGGTCTTATGAGTTATTAAAAATCATTTTGAAGTAGATCCAAGTCATTAAAAACAAGTTTCTACATAAATTTTCATTGCATGTGCTGACATATACGATTTTCAGGTCGACACATGCAACTCAGTTTTGAAGCTTGTAGCCTCTGGAAGGCTCAGGTAGACACAGGCATTGCATAGGTCGACACATACTGAAGAATTTCTAAAATTGCATAAATTCTTATTTTATGTATCGACACATACGAATTTCAGGTCGCCACATTTATTGTTGTTTTAAAGCATGTAGCATCCAACTTGTTTCGGTCGACACATACCTTCCTTCAGGTCGACACATACAACTTAAACTTAACATATGTGTCAACACATACGATTTATAGGTTGACACATACTGGTTGTTTTGGTCAAATTCTTAAATCTTTTTAATTCTGAATAAGTCCTTTTTTCCATAAATTTCCAAAACTATAAATACATCATTCATGTATCATTCATAACTTGATGATACCATTGTAAGTGTTTTCTTGTTGGCATTAATTTTTGGTAAAACCAGATTTGCAAATGTCATGACTGATGTCATAACATTCTGGGATAGAGACAAATTCTGCAGAAGGAATGCTCTATAGGAACAACTCAGTATGAGTGAATATCATGATGATTAAGCTATGATCATATGTACTGAATTCTACCAAAATCAGTGAGCAGGATACATGATGTCATAACCAATGTTAAGACATCCTGTACTGATCAAGTTATTGTGCAGATTTATTGTTCCTGAAAATTTTCAGGAATCTGGTGTGCTATTCTGAGTTGAAGTATATTGACTAGATCAGATGCTCACGTGGATATTAGGTTAACCTTACTTAACCCTAATCTGTTATGATGAAAGCCCAAGACCAAGTCTTTAGGTTAACTTTGGTTAACCCTAACTATTTGTATGGAAGCCCAAAATGAAGAATAGACTGCATATATATTTCTCATGAATCCTAATGGTGTGCAGCGCTTTTTAGAGAAGATCAATAAGGCATTTTGTAGTTGTGATAGTTTTAGTAATTACTGTGATCCAAGAAATTATCACTTGATAAGTGACTTGGAGTAGGATTTGGTTGTAAGGGTTGTTTATCACTCAAAGCTTTGAAGCACGAGTGTTGTGTCTCTTGATTAAAGCTTTGAAGCAAAATCAAGCGTGTGTATTAAGGAATGTCTTCATAATCTTATTAATCAGTAGATTAGTATCACTGCTGTGATTGAGGGGGAGTGAGTAGGAACTCAGGTTTAAGTAGGACTTAGATTGAAGTTGCATTGGGTAGGTCTTAAGTGAAGGAGATAAACTGGTTGGTTTATTCCTAAATTAATACCTCTTATAGTGAATTTCCTCCCTGGCTTGGTAGCCCCCAGATGTAGGTGTTGTTATACACTGAACTGGGTTAACAATTGATTATGTTCTTTACTCTCTTTTAAATTACTGTTTGGTTTGTGTACAATTTGTCAGATACGATGTCATAACATTCACTGTGACATTAAGTATCTGTTTCCAGAATTTCAATTGGAATCAGAGCAGGCACCCTGCCTGTCTTTCTGGGTGAGATCTAGGGATATTATTTTCTGGCGCTATGGACAAGGAAGGAGGATTTGGGAACAGACCACCTATTCTGGATGGATCAAACTATGACTACTGGAAACCTCGTATGATTGCCTTCTTGAAGTCACTGGATAATAAAGCTTGGAGATTTCCTGAAAAAGGATGGAACCATCCCACCATAACTGGGAAAGATGGGACGACTAGTCTGAAACCTGAGGAAGAATGGAGCAAAGAAGAAGAAGAGTTAGCCCTGGGTAACTCTAAAGCATTTAATGCCTTGTTTAATGGGATTGATAGAAACATATTCAGACTAGTACATCAATGTGAATTGGCCAAGGATGTTTGGGACACTCTCAAAACCACCCATGAGGGTACATCAAAAGTAAAAATGTCAAGACTTCAGATGCTCACTACCAAATTTGAGAATCTAAGGATGAAAGAAGATGAGACCATTCATGAGTTTCACATGAACATCTTGGAAATTGCCAACACCTCAGGAGCATTGGGAGAAAAGATGTCAGAAGAAAAGCTGGTGAGAAAGATTCTCAGATCCTTGCCTAAAAGGTTTGCAATGAAAGTGACTGCTATAGAGGAAGCTCAAGATATCTGCAACTTGAAGGTTGATGAACTCATTGGGTCACTTCAGACATTTGAGATGGGGATCAATGACAATGTTGACAAGAAAAACAAGAGCATAGCCCTTGTATCCAATACTGAAGATGAAAGCAAGGAGAGTGATGAAGAGAATATATCAGAAGCTATAGCTATGCTTGGAAGGCAGTTCAACAAACTCATCAAGAGAATGGACCCAAAGTCAAGGTCAAATGTCAAGAACATTTCCTATGACATTAGCGGATCCTATGACTCCAGTAGAAGAACTAAGTATGAAGAAAAGGGAAATCAAAGCAGAGGAATCCAATGCCATGGATGTGAAGGATATGGGCACATTCGAGCTGAATGTCCTACCTTTCTAAAGAAACAAAAGAAAGGAATGTCTGTTACTTGGTCTGATGGTGACTCAGAAAGTGACTCTAAAGAAGAATATGCTAAACTAGTTACTGCACTATCTGGTGTTTGTAACTCTGATAATGATTCTAGTGATGAGGAAGTGACATTTGAAGAACTTGCTGACTCCTACAAGAAGCTATGTATCAGAAGTGCTGAAGTCTGTCAGCAAAATGAGAAACAGAAAAAGCTCATAGTGAAGTTGGAGTCTGAGAAGAAGGCAGACACTGCTACTATAAGCCATCTCAAAGGTGAAGTTCTAATGTTAAACTCCAAACTTGATCAGATGACTAAGTCTGTCAAGATGTTAACAACTGGAACTGACAAGTTGGAAGAAATCCTTCAGGCTGGATAAAATGTAGGAAACATGTCTGGTCTAGGATTTGTGGCTGCAAAGAAATCTGCTGTTGACATGAAGAAGACCAGGCCTGATAAACAAATGTCAAAGCAGATGTCACAACATAGGGCTCAACATCAAGAACAGAGAAATATAAAGAAAAAGTATCAAAGATGGAGATGTCATTATTGTGGGAGGTTTGGTCACATAAAGCCATTCTTCTTCAGATTATATGGATATCCTAATCAAACCCCATATGTCAAACCTAAGACTAACAAGACACCATATACTCAACATTGGAAGAAAAAGACTGCAGCCCTGATAGCTCACACCTCCATTAGAGTTTCTGCCAAGGAAGACTGGTACTTTGACAGTGGATGCTCTAAACACATGACTAGAATCAAGAATCTGCTGAATGATGTCAAGCCTCATACTACTAGTTATGTCACTTTTGGAGATGGTGCTAGAGGAGAAATCAAAGGAGTTGGAAACTTGGACTGCCCTAGAGTTCCAAACCTAAATGAAGTGTTGCTGGTAAATGGTTTGACTGCTAATCTCATAAGTATCAGTCAATTATGTGATCTAGGATTCAAGGTCAACTTCACCAAGTCTGAATGTCTTGTAACTAATGAAAAACAAGAAGTTGTAATGAGAGGAGTCAGATCAAAAGACAACTGTTACTTATGGGAGTCTAAGAACACTAACTACTCTTCTGTGTGCTCTATAGATAAAGAAGAAAAGGAAGTGAAACTGTGGCACCAAAAACTTGGTCATTTACATCTTAGAGGGATGAAAAAGATCATATCCATGGAGGCTGTCAGAGGGATTCCAAGGCTTCAGGTTGATGAAGGGAGAGTTTGTGGTGAATGTCAGGTTGGAAAGCAAACTAGAATGTCACATCCAAAGACAAGACATCTGACCACCTCTAAGGTGCTAGAACTTCTACATATGGATATGATGGGTCTCATGCAGGTGGAAAGTCTTGGTGGAAAGAGTTATGCCTATGTTGTTGTGGGTGATTTTTACAGATTCACCTGGATAAACTTCATTAGGGAAAAGTCTGATGTATTTGATGTATTTTGAAAAAGAATTCAAAGAGAAAAAGAAGGATGCATTGTCAGAATCAGAAGTGATCATGGTAAGGAATTTGAAAATAGTAAGTTTGATGAGTTCTGTTCCTCAGAAGGAATCAATCATGAGTTCTCTTCACCTATAACTCCTCAACAAAATGGAGTTGTGGAAAGGAAAAACAGGACTATACAGGAATCTTCCAGAGCAATGATACATGCCAAGAAGCTTCCTATTCATTTTTGGGCTGAAGCTATGAATACAGCCTGTTATGTCCACAACAGGGTCACCTTGAGAAAGGGAACACCATCCACCCTTTATGAACTATGGAAAGGAAGAAAGCCTAAAGTGAAGTACTTCCATGTCTTTGGGAGCAAATGCTATATTCTGACAGATTGTGAACAAAGGAGAAAGATGAACCCTAAAATTGATGAAGGAATATTCCTAGGATACTCTACCAACAACAGAGCATATAGGGTGTTCAATTCCAGGACCAAAGTTATGATGGAGTCTATAAATGTCATAGTTGATGATCACCATGAGGAAACAAATGTCCCATATAATGTTGAGACATTCTTTGAGACTTCAACACAAGTGTCTAAAAAGGATGATGTGCCTAATCCTACTCCATCAGAGTCTGAATCAAAGGAAGCTAACAAAGATCCTTCCATCAGAATTCAGAAAGATCATCCTAAGGAACTCATCATAGGAGATCCTAACAGTGGAGTCACTACAAGATCTAGAGAAATCATCACAAACTCTTGTTTTGTGTCTAAGATTGAACCAAAAAATGTTAAAGAGGCTTTGACTGATGAATACTGGATTGGA